CAAGATGGTGAAAGTTTGTGTGACCAATCACCCACCCTTCTTATTGTTTTGCAACAGCGTCCAGATCTCTTTCCTACTGTTCACATCAACTCCAGCCGTTGGTTCATCCAAAATTACAAAACGAGAGCCACCAACTAGAGCAATTCCGATACTCAAACGACGTTTCATACCACCTGAACATAGCTTGAGTTATGAATGACAATCAGTCAAGAGTAGGTAAAAGGTTAAGCACCTGAGAGAGTGCTGGCAAGCGCATCTGCTTTGTCGCCGAGTGACACTGCGTTTAAGATCTCATCAACTTCCTAAATATATTTGTTAACGAAGTTTATGTCAACTTAAGAGTTAATTACTTTAAATAAATTTTAGGTTTAAGGGACTAAGTTTTCACGTACGTCACAAACTAACTTTTGATATAAAAGTTACTATAAGAGTGGAAAGCTACGGCGACCCATAGGAGGTGCGAGCAAGCTCAATACCGTATCCCGCCCTAAAAGTCAAATAACCTTAGTGAGAATTATTGGAGACTCTATCAAACACCATCTCGATTAAAATACCGGACATTTAACCTTAACAAAGCGCCGAGAAGCGATATAGAATGTATTTGCCTCGTAAGAGGAGCTGTACCCGGGTGACTCGGTACATCACACGAGGTCATAAGAGTTGAATGGTTAGACTCATGCGTTTCAGGTATTGGATCGGTTGATGGAGCATTTGAGTTGAGAAATCAGGCAAAGGCATGATCACTAACAGCACTTTTTATGTCTAAACTATTTTACCAAGGCAACATCTCTATTTCTTTTTTTAAAAAATAGTGCATTAATGTAGATCATTCCTGCAAAGTATGACTTGCTTGAAAAGGAGGTTGGACCTTACCGCAAATTCTCGTCATTTGTCTACGAGTTTTATTTACAATATTGAATTTAGGTTGAAATCAAATCACTTACATGATCAAGCTGAGTATCTGGAGTTCCCTTCAAAGCCGCAAAAAATCGCAACTGCTCAGAAACTGTCAAACTGTAAATGAGCCCTTTACGTGCAACTAAAGCCCTTCGCAATGAACTGTTGGTCGATGAACTCACTGTGAAAATAGCACATTATACTGTGGACAAACTCCTAGTAAATCCCTAACTCGTTGCAGTTCTTTTCGAATATCCCAGCCATAGACAGTGGCAGTACCGGTTGATGATGAGTACAGGCCACAGAGAATTGACCTAGAAAACTTATAAATTTTGGGATATTTATAACATAGTTATTTTCCGTCCTTCTAATCTTTCAGTCATTATGGAAATCTTACATGGTAGTAGTCTTTCCTGCTCCATTATGTCCAAGAAGTGCTGTGATCTGATCCTCATACAGCCGTAGATTGAGCTGATCGAGCTAAAATCGATCGTAGATGAAGAACTTTTTTGATGGTTAGAAACTCCTCGCCTTACCGCTTTCGTTCCATTACCATAAACCTTGCTCATGTCCTTGATATGAACTGTCATGTTCAAATAGCTGGGTTCGGTGTCAAAAGCTTCACCCGCTAAATAAAATCATTGCCATAGAAAACCTAAACGAACAGTAAAAAAAGTAGGAAATAAAAATACATGGTTGCGAATCTAGAGGATCAGTGAAATCTGCTATGCTTCCAGAATGAGGCAGCCAGTAGCTTTTGGTCAAGAAGAAGTACCAAGGTAGTGAAACGCCGTAAATTCCTGGAAAAGAATTCCAAATGCACAGTTCCAAAGTAAAACTTTATAAGCTTTTTTGGATTTTTCAAAAGTGCAGAAGTAGGTACAAGAAAAGAAAAATAGTGCGAAATCTGAAAGAAGAGGTGGAACCGAAATACTTCTTCCATCGTAAGAAAAACTGATTTACGGTGACGATTTCAATACTGGAAGATAACCCAAACGCTTACCTGGTGAAACTGCGCTTTTGTACCAAGCCAAAATCAAAAAAACAACAGTCTGCAAAGCAAAAGCCACCATACACTGTATAAGTCCAACATCGTAAGCTAAAATTTCTAGTTTATTGACTTGAAAAATGCATAATTGAGAACTTACCCTCAAGGTAGATCTGGTTAAGGTCGGACCAGCGAGCCTGACCCAACTGAGCAAAAAGAGCCAACATAGCTACCCCGTAACCAAGCGTTGTTTGAGGGAATATCAACTGAATAAGATGTTTTTGCGACTTTTTTGGTCATAAATCGAAAATGTCGAACTTACAGTAAACTGAGTGAAAGTCCTGTTTCTGGCTCGAACACTGAGCTGAAAAGGGAAGAAAAAAAGGAAGTAAACGAGACAGGTAGCGGCTGTTGAGATGTTAGCATTGGAGAAGAATGTCGACAGAAGCAAGCAAAGCGCTACTGATGAGATAGCGAATAAGGAGAGGAATAGGAACACTAGCCAGAAATCAGCGTTGAGAAGATTGCCAAACTGAAAATGAAATGAATTACGGCTACTAAGTGACGCTAACCATCACACACTGCAATATATCTGGTCAATGGAAAAGTGAAGTAAGTTTGTTCACAGATATAATAAATTCTTGCTCTGGAATCAATGGCGTATTTTTTTGGG